GAGTGGACACTGCACTCCAGTCTGGGCGACAGAGTGAGACTTCACCTCAAAAAAAAAAAAGACGACATACAAACGGCCAACAGGTATAAAAGGGGCTCAATCTCACTAATAACCAGAGAGATACAAATCAAAACTACAATGAGATATTATCTCACGCATGTTGATGGCTATTATAAAAAAGACATGAGCTAAGTGTTGATGTGGAGAAAGGAAAACTTTGTACACTGTTGGTGGGAATATAAATTAGTAAAGCCATTATGGAAAACAAATATGGAAGTTTTTCAAAAAAATAAAAACAGAACAACCAAAAATGATCTGGCAATCTCACTATTGGGTATATACCCAAAGGAAATGAGATGAGTATGCTGAAGACTTATCTATACTCCCATGTTCATTGAAGCATAATTTATAATAGTCAAGGTATGAAAACAACCTAAATGTCTGTCAAAAGATGAATGGACAAAGAAAATATGGTATATATGCTGAATGGAATATTATTCAGCCACAAAAAGAAGAAAATTCTGTAATTTGTGACAACATGGGTGAATGCTTAGGACTATGCTAAATAAAATAAGCCAGATGCAAAAAAGTAATGTATAATTTTACTTATATGTAAAATAAAAAACGCTGAACTCATAGAAGCAGAGAACAAAATGGTGTTTTCCAGGGGCTGCAGGGTAGGAAAAAAGGGAAGATGTTGGTCAAAGGGAAGTACTTTCACTTATAAGATGAATAAGTTCTGGGGACCTAATGTACAACAGGGTGACTATAGACAGTAGACCTTAACTGTCTTCACCACAAACACACAAAATGTCAACCATGTACAGTGACAGATGTGTTGATTTGACTGTGGTAATAAGTTTACAATGTGCATGTATAGCAAATTACATTGTACACCTGGAAAAAATATAAATCTTGTCAACTATACCTCAACATACCTGGAAAAAATGGATCAAAATTCATAAAAGATAAGAGAAAAATCAGAGTTTGACAGAGGAAAACAAATCAAAATCTATTTTCTTCCACCCAAATATGAATTATTCCTGTACATGCTGTTGTAACTGATATCCTAAGAAACATGCAATTTCAAGATTTTCCATCACTACTGCTTAGGCCAGATGCATTTCCAACAGGACAAAACCAGACTTTAAGGGTTTATTCTGATAATGATAGTACTAGTTACTACTGGTAGATGTTGGCACAGTTCAAAATCCATTTGAATGGGTCAGTTCATGTGGCCTCAAAGCAAAATTCTATCATAAAGGGCACGGTCACACATGATTCCAACCTGTGAAATGTTCAGTAAACTCTTGTTCCAATTTCATGGCTCTCTCAAATGTTTTTCTGGCTTGTTCTTCTGTTAGACGCTTATTCATTTCCCTATGCAAATAAATTTAGAAATTGGCAATTACCACATTATAATACTTTTTGAAAAAAAGATGACGGAGAGATGACATGTAAAGCATAAAACCATGAAAAGCTGAGCTCTGTAGAAAATATGAGTATCGTTAAAAAATGTATTCAGTCATTGAATATGCTGCTTTATACTTGGAATGACAGAAGGGTTTTTGACACATTCTGCACGGGCTCAAAGTAGCAAAAGGAAAAAAAAGTCCCACATCCTAAGCATTAATCTATGACAGTATTGGCTTTGATGAAAATTTCACACTATGACTTTCACAATGACTTACAGATCTACTTACCAATTTATAAAAAATAAAGAAGGCACATGAACTCATTAAACAACACTATGAGAAGGCAATCAGAAAATAGTTTGGAGAAAACTCTGCAGAAAAAATGATGTGGTTTCTTTCACAAATAAATGGGGAGAAGGCCGGGCTGGTGGCTCAGCCTGTAATCCCAGCACTTTGGGAGGCTGAGGTGAATGGATTGCCTGAGCCCGTAGGATTGAGACCAGGCCGGGCAACTTGGTGAGACCTCATCTCTGCAATAAAAAAAAAAATTAGCTGGGTGTGGTAGTGTGTGCCTGTAGTTCCGGCTACTTGGAAGGTTGAGGTGGAAGGATCACCAGAGCCTAGCGGGTCGACACTGGGGTGGCCATGACTATGTCACTGCACTCTAGTCCGGGTGACGGAGAGTGACCCCAACTTCAAAAATAAAATAAATGGGAAGAGGAGAAATGTGGAGGGAGAAACCACAGATTAAAAAACATAACCAATTGCTACACACAAACCTTATTTGGAACTTAATTACAAAAAATTAAAAAACACAAAACTTATGAAATAGACATATTTGAACTGATATCAGATTATTGTTATTTTAAGTATGATAATTACAGTAGTGTCTTTTTAATAAGAAATGATTATCTTTCAGAGATATACTGATATATAGACAAAATGATATGTCTGGGATTTGTTCAAAATAATCTGGAATGAAGGGGTAAGGAGAGGGAAGGATAGATGAAGCAGGATTGCTCATGAGCTCATAATTATTGCTGCACCTGAATGAATATATATGAGTTTGTTCCCAGCTTAAGAAGGAAAGATTTCAATATTTTGCCGTTAAGTACAATGTTTGCTATGATATCCTGTAGAGTTACTGTCTAGTGTTCTTTCATTTTACCCTATAAAATTACCTTCAGAAATTCCTGTAGGGTAGGTCTAGTGGTAACGAACTCCCTCAGCTTGTGTTAATTTCTCCCTCAATTCTGAGGAACAGTTTTGCCATATATAGGGTTCCTGGTTGAACTGTTTTTTTTTCTTTCAGTGCTTTTAATACATCATCCCCTGCCTTCTGACCTCCAAAGTTTGTGATGAAAATCTGTTGATAATCTTACTGGGAAATCCCTTGTACATGGTGAGTTGCTTCCCTCTTACTGCTTTCCAGACACTTTCTGTCTCTCGACAGTTTGATTATAATGTGCCTCAATATAGGTCTATAAGTTTATCCCACTTGGAGTTCACTGAACTTCTTGGCTATTTATGTTCATATTTTTCATCAAATATGGGAAGTTTCTTTCCATTTTAAAAATAATCTTTCTGCCTCTTTCTCTATTTTCTGAGACTCCCACAATGTATATATTGGTCACCTGATGGTATCCTCACAGGTCTCTTTGGCTCTGTTCAATTTTCTTCAATCATTTTTCTTCTGTTCCCCAGACTCAATAATTTCCATTGTCCTAAGTTTGCTCTTTCATTTGCCTGTTAAAATCCACCTTTGAATTCCCCTAGTGAAATTTTCATTTCAGCAATTGTACTTTTTAACTCTAGAATTTTTTAGGTTTCTATTTATATTTCCATTTTGCTCATATTATTTCCTTGACTCTACTCCATATCTTTTAGTTTGCTAAGCATCTTCAAGACAGTTGAGTTACAGTTTTTATCTAGTAAGTCTAACATCTGGTCTTTCTCAGGGACAGTTTTCTGTTTATTTTTCCTTTGAATGGGTCACACTTTCCTGCTCATTTGCCGTGTGATTTTTTTGTTGAAAACTAGATATCTGAATTTTATGATGTGGTAACTCTGAAGATTAAATTCTCCCTTCCCCAGGGTTTGCTGTTTTATTTAAAATTTAATTTTATTACTTATTGTACAGTGTTTCTGTGCCAGGGATCAGCCTGAAGTGCACCTAATTTAGAGTCTTCTCAGGTATTTTCCAAGCCAGTGCTTTTCTTTTTTTTTGAGTTGGGAGTGTCACTTTTGTCACCAGAGATAGAGTACAGTGGCATGCTTATGGCCACTGCAGCCTCAACCTGCTGGGCTCAGGCGATCTCAGGCTGATCCACCTCAGCCTTCCAAGCAGCTGGAACTACAGATGTACGCCACCATGCCCAGCTCCAAGTCAGTACTTTTCCATGAACATGCATGGCGGCTTTGCAAATTCAGCCCCCTACTCACAACCCAATATGTGGTTACTTTTTTTTTTTTTTTTT